TCCCTGGGACGGGAGTGGTTTGCTCAGATGGCATTGACAGAGGTGCCACACGAGGGGTGAAGTGGGTGGTCCATTGCTATAAGCAAGGAGATGGCTGGGAGCAGCTCCACAGCGCTGGGGGCAAAATGAAACAAAGGGGTTTGCCTTGTTGAAAAAGAAATGCAGAGGCAGCTGAGAGGCAGTCCACATGCTCCTGGTGGGGCCCTAAGGGATGCCTGTGCTCCCTCACTTACCTCAGTTGGCCCTGCCTCCCTCTTCCCAGACTCCTAGCCCCTTGGGACAGCATGAGCTTTCCTAGGGCTCCCCTCAACTTGCTCGATGTAGAATTAACTTAATTAGTTTCAGGGGGATCCCTCATTGTGGGTGCATTACCTGGGTTAAAAGAAACTCTGCGCGTGTGTGTCTGTGTTTGCCTTCATGTACACAGGCACCTTGAGACAATGCTCCCCTTATACCTTGGGACTGCTGGACTGTTACTGGAGTCCTGGGGCTTGACAAATTGGCAGAGACTGGGTAATTCTGAAACAGTTTAACCACTTCAGCACAAGTGTCACCTACAGCCGACAGCCACAGATGAATGCGCACAGCGACTTTAGCTGACAGCCGTGATATAACTTTTCTAATTTTTTGTTTATCAAAATAAAATTGTGAACATTTAAAAATCATGTAATGAAAACATATATGTATAAGTTACCTGTTCTGATTTACATGACAAGTAAAGTTGCCTGTAAAGTAAAACACGATTTCAGTGCTTTCAAGCTTTCTTCGTCACACAAGAGCAAGACAGACCCATCGTCAATGCGCAGCACGGACCTCCGTGCGACTGTGAGTGCGGCTGTGGCCAGTGAGCGCCGGACCAAAGTGGTTAAGGACAATGCTTACAATGATTAAGGGACCAAGAAATAAGCCTCCAGGGCTCGATTCCTGACCTCTGCAGGACCTGTTCTCCTCAAACTCCTCTTCCCAGCGTTGGGTGTCTGCCAGGGGCCCTGCACAGTGTTTGCATGACAGAAGGCAAAGATACTAACACAACACTGTCCTTGGTGTCCAAGGCTTTATAATCCAGGGATATGGGGTTCAACAGATCCCCAAACCCTTCAATACAAACAAACCATACAAGAGGTACAGACATAGTGCTGGGTCTCAGAAGCCAAGGAAAGCACATACCATCAGAAAGGCCATGAAAGTCTTCATGAACAAGTGGCATCGAGAGATAAATAACATTTTTACAGGTGAGGGTGAAGTGGGAGTCCCAGAGGAAGAACCAGTGTGATCACACAGTGGAGGCAAGAAAAGGAGAGCAAATGAGTCTTTAAGGGTGGAGGATAAGAGAATCAGTCAGCAGAAATGGGCCTGGAAGGGTGGACTGGGACCGTAAATGCCAAGCAGAGAAGCTTCCACTGCATTCTGCAGGCCATGGACAAGCCTCTGGTGCGTTTCCACACTGGGACTCGCTATGGAGGATGTCCTCCACCCTTGGCTGGAGGGGGGCAGTCGAATTCCTGCTCTGGCTTCAACCCAGTGAGCTTCAACACATCAGTGTGGAGGAGGTACTTTGCACGAGGCCCTCCACAAGCGGGAAGTGAAGATGAAACAAAGCCTCAGTCTGTGTCTTCAAGACCCCTGCAGTTTGGGGACTGGGAAGAAAGAGGCAAAGAGATTAAAGACACTCAGAACCCCGATGTGTGGTGAAAGGAGCACCACAGGAGTCTCAACAAAATGCTCAGACCTTCCTGGTGGGGGCTTCTATCAGCTTCTCAAGGATGGGCACCAGCTTTCTTCATCTCTGCACGGCCTGGGTCTACCCCAGTACCTGGCACTTGGTAGACATTCATGAAATGTATGAATGAATGAATGAGCAATTCTTCTGTCATGATTATCTGCTGAGGATGTCTGTTATAAGTTCATACAACACTGCCTAACTTTGGCTCATATTGTTCCTCTCTTCTCCCACTCAGATTTTATTCTGAGTGGGAGAATACTAGCCCATACTATTTTCCAGGACTCTGATTCTTTCAGTGATCACAGACACTGTGCTGCATAATTTAAGTGTCCCTGTTCCTTGCAGCTGCTTCTTGTGTGCTAGTCATGTAATCTCCCTTCTTAAATGATTGCATCTCTCACGATACTTGGAATATATTGACTGTTGATTGGCTGGGAAATAACTCATTACGGGAGTAGCGGCAGAAACTGACGTTATGGAGCGTCAGGCAGTGTTGGTGCTGTGCATACATTCACAAAGAGTCTGGATAATGTGGCCTGGTACAGGGAAAACTGGGGACAAAACAATTTTGCTGTCTAAAAGTCCTTGACATAGAGGCCACAGACCCATGGCTCGCCTCCTCTGAGGACAGAAGAGGAGGAACTGTGTCTGTCCTGTAGCATGTGGATGGATATGAAATTATGCACTGGACTGGGTTGCTTAGGAGGCATGAAATCCCCCCACACTGAAAGCCCTTAAAGACAAAAGAGATCATCTCTCCAGGAAGCTGAGGCTGCAGGGCAAGCTGGCTTTCTCCTGAGCAGTGGCAGTGGGAGTGCTCGCCCGGCTGTCCTCGTCAGTCACAGGCAAGAAAGGAGAACCCTTCTGAGTAAAGTGTCTTATAGGAACTGTTGATTTACTCTTTTGTTTTATGATCTCCTGATGTTGTGAACAAGGTTCAGGGAGATTAGCTGACTGCAGGCAGATGGATGTTTCTGTGTAGACAAATAAGGTATATTCTCATTATCATCCAGCTCATTTTCCCAAGAATTATGTATTCCCTGGTCAAAAAATGAAGCTCAAACGAATTCAACTACATTCAGTAAATGGCTGACCAACACTTTCTGCGTTTGACCGCACACCCTTTGCAGGGATGAACGCTTCCTGCAGGGACTAACGCTGCCTCCCTAACTACACTGTCTGGGGTAGGCAGGTATCAAGCCCGACTATTTCTCTATGGTCTCCTGATAGTAAGTGCTCGATAAACACACATGAATGATAACCTTATACAATAATTTTCAAATACTTTCCCCACACATTTCCTAATTTAATCTTCACAACAATCCTGTGAAATAGGTATTATTTTCCAGAAAAGGAAACCAATGATCAGAGATGACAAGTGGCACAGCCAGCATCATACAGCCAGTAAGGAAGAGTTCTTTCCACTACAATTTGCTGCTTAAACGAACTGTATAGCCTGAAAAAAGTGTCAGCTCAATCTTTCCCCCATCACACATCTTATTTCATGGAGCAACAAGCATTTTATTTCAGGGTCAGGCACATTATGTCCAAGCTTAGTTTTCGGTGAATACATGAATGGACACAGCGGACACTCTGTATAAAGTCAGTGGAAAACAAACAACACAAGAGGAGGGAGAACCTTTTCAAACCATGTATCAGGAGCCTACTGGGGGCACTGGAGCCTGGCATTGGAGACCCAGCTGCGACAGACCTGCCCTCAAGGGGCTTACAGTCCATTGCAAGAGACAGATGTACAACAATTCACTAATATTACAGTGAACGAATCATAACTTTGTTAAATGCTACTAAAAGTATACAGCAGGAGCCAGGTGCGGTGGCTCACGCCTATAATCCTAGCACTCTGGGAGGCCCAGGCCAGCGGATTGCTCAAGGTCAGGAGTTTGAAACCAGCCTGAGCGAGACCCGTCTCTACTAAAAATAGAAAGAAATTAATTGACCAACTGAAAATATATATAGAAAAAATTAGGCGGGCATGGTGACGCATGCCTGTAGTCCCAGCTACTCGGGAGGCTGAGGCAGGAGGATCGCTTGAGCCCAGGAGTGAGGTTGCTGTGAGCTAGGCTGACGCCATGGCACTCACTCTAGCCTGGGCAACAGAGCGAGACTCTGTCTCAAAAAAAAAAAAAAAAAAGTCTACAGCAGGGAGCTCCGCTCTGGTCCGCAGGAGAGCCATTTGCGCTCAGCGTAGGAAGGCTGGCCTCTTTGGGGCAAGGGGGATACATTTAGCCCGGCAGAACCTCCAAAAAGAAGTGAAGGCGAATTAAAAGGGCAAGAGGAGGAGGGAAAACACTCCTCACAAATAGAACTGGACCTAGGGGCCGCGACTCTCCAGCGCGGTTGCAGGGACTGGACGCAGGAAGCAGAAGCAAAGGCAAGAGGGAAGGGAGAGGCCGGCTCCCGCACGCCGCGCGGGCGCCAGGCCCCGACGGCGTTCAGCGGGCGGGCGGGGCGCCGCCTAGGGGGCGGGCCGGGCCTCGCCAGCAAGCCGTGGATTGGCGGGGAAGGCGTTCCGCCAGGACGGCACCAACGGCCGGGCGGGCGGCGGTGGGTGTGGGACGCCGGCTGTGCGCGGGGCGGGGAAGGCCGGGCGGGGGCGGAGCCGCAGTGGCGGCGGCGGGGGCGGTGAGCGCCGCGTGGGGCTGCCCCTCCCCGGAGGTGGCGGGGCGGCCGCCGCGCCGCAGCGTGCGGGCGGCCATGGAGCTCGCCTAGGGCCGGCAGGTGAGCGGCGCGGGCGGGGAGGGCGCGCGGACCCCCGCCCCGCGCGGCGCGCGGGAAAATGCGGGCGGGGCGCGGTGCGGGGCGCGCGCCGGGGCGGGGCGCCTCCCCGAGGGCTGGGCACCGGTCCCCTGAGTGGCCGGCGGGCGGGTCCCGGGCGAGGGCCCGAGGCTGCTTCGGAGACCGGGCCGCGTGTCCCTGCGTGCGGCAGCGGCTGAAGGGACGCGGCCTCAGCTGCCGCCTCGCCGGCCCACTGAGGCGCCGGCCTTACCTGGGGCCGCCCGAGGTCCTTTCTAGTGACCATCTCTGGTCCCCGTGCGCGGTGTCCAGAGGCGACTGGCCCGGTGCCTCCCCGCGCGCCGCGGACGCCGGTTGCGGGCCCAGGGCAGAGCGCGCGCCGGGGCCTGCCGCGCCCGCCGGGAGCGCGGGTGACCTGCAGGCCGGAGGCGGCGGCGGCCGTGGCGGTCTCTGCGGTCGTGCGGCAGGCGCTTGCCGTGGGCACAACTTAAGGAAATAGGGCAGGCCAGAGTGGGTTGCGTTGAGATTTCGTTTCCGGGTGTGATGGCCGGCAATTGAGAGCTAACCGAAACGTTGCCATTAGCGATGAATGTGAACAGCTGTCGAGCTGCGTCCTCGATTGTGGGGTCTGATAGGAGATTAATGCCAGTCCTATGGATAGGAAAAGAAGGGGTAGAAGGATGGGTTGGAGGGAAAGTGACGGGGATAGGGCTGGTTGATGATTACAGAGTTATTAGCCCTTTTAAAGGCCAAGTCACCATTGGGGTGGGTAAGGAGTGCATAATTTGGGAAAATGAGAGATGCTTGATGCTGCAACTTTGGTCTAGAGCCAAGTATCAGTGTCCTTATCCAGCCAGTTTCCCTGTGGAGGTTTGATTTTTCACCTTGGAAGGGAAGTAGGAATATGGGGTCTTTTAGCTTTTAAATTCTTGGACTTTATAAATCTGTAATCTGGTAAAGTTACGATTGCCATTTATTAACCATGCCTAACCTCCTTGTGTCCTAAATTCTAGCCTAAATTTCACTGGGGTTGATTTCTAAAAATTGAGTTAGAGACCTGTGTGTGTATCTATGACAAACATTCCTTGTGCAGGACCTTTGAGGTAAGCTTAGAGCATTTCCACGTCGATGATTTGTTATCAGGACACGTTTCTTTAAGAAACTGAGGTACAGGTGTGAAAGCTGCTAAATTATTTGCCCAGACTCATAACCAATCTAAGGTAGATTTAAAATTAAATTAATGTTTTGTATTAAATTAATAACTTTTCTAAAGTTTGTGAGGGTGTTGGACTTTGGCTCCTACAGTGGAATAGGGCAACAGGAGGGCCTTTCAGGATCGAAATTGCTTATCAAAGGACGAGAAGGCCAGCGTGGTGGCTCACGCCTGTAATCCTAGCACTCTGGGAGGCTGAGGCGGGGGGATTGCTCTAGGTCAGGAGTTCAAAACCAGCCTGAGCAAGAGCGAGACCCCATCTCTACTAAAAATAGAAAGAAATTAATTGGCCAACTAAAAATATATAGAAAAAATAAGCCGGGCATGGTGGCGCATGCCTGTAGTCCCAGCTACTCAGGAGGCTGAGGCTGGAGGATTGCTTGAGCCCAGGAGTTTGAGGTTGCTGTGAGCTGGGCTGACACTCACTCTAGCCTGGTAGCCTGGGCAACAAAGAGAGACTCTGTCTCAAAAAAAAAAAAAAAAAAAAAAAAGGAGAGAGAGAGAGACAGAAAAGGAAAACAATGCTAAAAAAAAAAAGAAAAAAGTACGGGAAAGGGCACACAAAAGTAATTCAGACTTTCAGCTTCACTCACAACAAAGTGCAGTGATAAATGTGGAAGGAGGTAGAAGGTGATAAAGAAATCTTAGGGTTCACAGCTTTCTTCCTCTGGCTGGTGAAAATCTGACATTACTTTGCTGTATTTGTTTCTCTAGGAGTAGTAGAAAAATAGCTATATTTTGGTGAATGAATGAAAACTTGAAAACACATGCCCTGCTTTTCTTTTTGAGTACTTTGGATTAGGGAACAAACAACTCACTGTTCCTATCGTCTTTACTTTTCATAATCCTTTATATCATACATTTATTTTATGTTAAGTTGATAATTCCTTGACTTTTAGTGCATTCTCTCAATTTTCATTTGTAGATTCCAACTCTTTCATGTAGCCTTAAAGATTCTGCTTTTCCTCTCCTCTGAACCTAAATTTTCTTTGGTTTCTTTACATTCAGAGCAGACTTCACCTTCCTATACTTCGTGTAACTATCATTTCAGTGATATAAATCCTAAAGCCAGATACTTCAGCTCTTGAATTAATAACTTTTTAAAATAGCTAACCACAGTGCTTGTCTCTTGGTGATTGCTACAATCTCATAACAGAAGCAGGAGGCTGTTTTTTTGTATTCTATGATCGCAGTTGCAAACCATAAAAAGGAGACAATCTTCTGAATGTCAGGTCACTCTGGGACTAAGTGCCAGGTGGTTTTGTGAATTGGGATTGGGAGCACAGTTACAATGAGGCCCTACAGTTTGTTATAATAGTTAAGATAATTGGTGTACTTTTCACTCTGCACCTAATAGTACCTAGTACATAGTAGATGGGCAGGAAATATTTGTCAGTTGAATGAATAAATGGAAAACAGTATAAGGGAAGGAGAAATATTCTAGTGAATATACTAAATTGTTTAGTTCCTCTTTTTGTCAAAAGAGAAACAAAGCCAAGAAAATGTGTTTCACATTCCTGTTGAAAATAAGCTATTGAGGTGAGTTATTTGCTGGAGGTCTCTAGCGATTTCGATTCTATGATTGTATGGTATTCTAGCCACCTATAGCCTAGGAGCAGCCTGTGCAGGTTCTGGTCAGGTGCAGCTTCTGAAGCCTGCTCTGGGTAGGCTTACTGAGCAGGTGGATTGGTAGCCAATGTTTTTGCATCAATAGAGAAACTTAGGGCTTTTAGTAATAGTCATGCCAATATCATTGACCCTGACTGTCTTTCTTGTCCTTTATATTGTGGATGGGAGAGGGGAGTTATGCCTCCCTGAAGTGCTTCTCCAACAGCTCCTCCTTCCACACCTATATTTCTCCCTCTTTTCCTTCCCTTAGCTGCCTCTGTAATCCTCAAGGACTAATGAATTCATTAACATGGGTCTGGGGTGCAGAACAAAAGGCCTTACTTTGCTATTGAAACCAGCTTCTGACCAACTTATAATGTCAACATGACTGCTAGAGCTGCCTAAAAGAGAACATAATGCAAAGATCTCACCTCCGACTTAGTCTTTCTTACCAATAACAAAGAAGAAATGCCTATCTCGGACATAAAGAATCTTGTGGGTGCATCTGCCATCCCAGTATGAGATAAGAAATGGAGGCTGATGCAGAAAAGAGACATTGAACTTTGGTGTGTGTTTGAGGTCTGCACTTTCTGTCAAGGTTACAACTCCTTTAGAGGAGAGGGTGCTAATTTGGGTGCATTATAAAAGGAGGCCAAGGAATGTGAAATTATGAATGTGTAAAGAGGACAAGCAAATACAGGATGAGGCAGTGAAGTCTGTCATTATCATGGTTGACTTTCTGCTTTAGGTATGTAATTGTTGAGAAATAAGGTATTATATGTGAAGATTCTTATTTTAGCTCATTTATCTAATGTTGGGAAATAAGGTATTAAATGGGAAGATTCTTATTTTAGGTATACTTCTTGTGGAAGAATTTACATTGTATTATATACTTTGTTTCCTTTTAAACAATATAGTTCAACTTTCTTTTTAATTATCTCAAAGTTATGATTACTGGCATCCATTAATGACAGTAATCAAGTGAGTCTTTGAGGTGATTGAAAAATGTAGGTTGTTTGCACCTTCTGCTATTTGAATTATTGAATCTGTTTCAGTCGGATTTGGTAGTCAGCTCTCTCTCAGTGGTGGGAAGCTGCACTTGTAATGCTGTTAGTGTCCCTGCTGCCCTCTTTGAAATTTGCAACTTCTGATCTGTGAATTAGGAACCCAGATCACTCTGCTTTCTGAAAGTGAATGTAAAACAACTTTTTTTTTTTTGAGACAGAGTCTCACTCTGTTGCCCTGGCTAGAGTGCTGTGGCATCAGCCTAGCTCACAACAACCTCAAACTCCTGGGCTCAAGCGATCCTCCTACCTCAGCCTCCTGAGTAGCTGGGACTACAGGTATGCACCACCATACCTGGCTAATCTTATTTATTTTGGGTAGAGACAGGGTCTCATTCTTGCTCAGGCTGGTCTCAAATTCCTAAGCTCAAATGATGCACCCACCTCGGCCTACCAGTAAAACAACTATTAATAAATGGGCTTAGTTATGTTCTGCAGGCTCTTCTCTGAATATTAGTGTGTGAATTTTATAACTACTGTTCTGGCTGCCCAAAGATCTTTTTTGTTTATTTCTTGTTTGTTATCCTTGGTTTAGATCGTGAAAGCACTCTGTATAGGTGCATTTATGTTTTTGTAGTTCTTTCTGTGGAACAAAGAAAATAATATGGAAGTATGTACTAGTGTTGGTTCTTGTTTCAGAAAGCATTGCCAATAATACTTGCAGATCTCCTTCCAGCTCTTGTCTTGTATCATTCTTGGGCAGTGTCTTAGACCACCTCCATTCTTCCTGTTAGCATTTCCAGATTGTCTTTACTCTCAATACCACCAACCAGGTTCATAATAGCAATGGCCTTGAAAGGTGGAAGCAGGATATACAGAAGGCAGCAATTTTAAATTGCACATATAAAATTGGCATTACATGTTAGATATTTATGCATCTTTTACCATATTGTATATCTGAATTAATTACAGGACTTATTTCTCCATGTCTGTAAAAGAGACAGTCTTTTTTTTTTTTTTTTTTTTTTTGAGACTCAGTCTCGCTTTGTTGCCTAGGCTAGAGTGAGTGCCGTGGCGTCAGCCTAGCTCACAGCAACCTCAAACTCCTGGGCTCAAGCAATCCTGCTGCCTCAGCCTCCCGAGTAGCTGGGACTACAGGCATGCGCCACCATGCCCGGCTAATTTTTTTTTCTATATATATTAGTCAATTAATTTCTTTCTATTTATAGTAGAGACGGGGTCTCGCTCTTGTTCAGGCTGGTTTCGAACTCCTGACCTTGAGCAATCCACCTGCCTCGGCCTCCCAGAGAGCTAGGATTACAGGCGTGAGCCACCGCGCCCGGCCTAAAGAGACAGTCTTTAAACCAGAGAGTTGCCAGTTTAGTACAAATTGTTATAACCATGCTGTTTACTCACTTTACTCAACAAACATTTATTGAATACTTCTGAAATGCCCAGTACTGTGGTAGGTTACTTGAAAGTACAGCAAGAGTAAAACATATCCACTGTCCTCAAGAAACTCACAATATAGTAGAAGAGACAGGGCCAGGCGTGGGGGCTCACGCCTGTAATCCTAGCACTCTGGGAGGCCGAGGCAGGCGGATCGCTCAAGGTCAGGAGTTTGATACCAGCCTGAGCAAGAGCGAGACCCCGTCTCTATTAAAAATAGAAATAAATTAATTGGCCAACTAAAAATATAAAGAAAAAATTAGCTGGGCATGGTGGCACATGCCTGTAGTCCTCCCAGCTACTTGGGAGGCTGAGGCAGGAGGATTGCTTGAGCCCAGGAGTTTGAGGTTGCTGTGAGCTAGGCTGACACCACGGTACTATAGCCGGGCAATAAAGTGAGACTCTGTCTCAAAAAAAAAAAAAAAAAAAGAAGAGGCTGGGCGTGGTGGCTCACGCCTGTAATCCTAGCACTTTGGGAGGCCGAGGCGGGCGGATTGCTCAAGGTCAGGAGTTCGAAACCAGCCTGAGCGAGACCCCATCTCTACCAGAAATAGAAATAAATTAATTGACCGACTAAAAATATATATACAGGCCGGGCGCTGTGGCTCACGCCTGTAATCCTAGCTCTTGGGAGGCCGAGGCGGGCGGATTGCTCAAGGTCAGGAGTTCAAAACCAGCCTGAGCGAGACCCCGTCTCTACTATAAATAGAAAGAAATTAATTGGCCAACTGATATATATATAAAAAATTAGCCGGGCATGGTGGCGCATGCCTGTAGTCCCAGCTACTCGGGAGGCTGAGGCAGAAGGATCACTCCAGCCCAGGAGTTT